GACTAAGAACGGAAGCAGCACCGCATACCCACAGGGTAGACTATGTAAATAGTTAGCGTGTATAAGACCAATAATAACCTCGTCATTGGGTATATCGTATCGACCAACTTAGCGCATCGTTAGAAGCAATTCCGGGCGTATCGCCAAAACCTTTGCGCTACCTTTTTAATGACGTACCTTGCTTCGCACAACTCAAATGAATGTGTTCGTTGGAATTGAAGTATCCTACCGGATTCAATTCCTCCATCCAGTGCGATTGTTTTTTTCACCATGAGGCGGTGTACTTCTCTTCGGATATAAACTTCAACTTTAGCGACAAGGATAATAACATTAGGAAGACGGAAACTTACACTTGAAAACGACCTGCTTTTTTGCCAGGTGAAATTGGGTGCGCCAAGTCAATGCGGCAAGTTAAGCTCTTTGATAAACTCAAGCGAGTGTGGGTAACACTCATAACAGGTCAAACAAGCACAATCCACTTCAAAATGCCATCTCAGTTCGTTTCCTCTTCTTCAAGATTTGTTTGGGCTTCTTCCAGTTGTACATTACATTCACAACTGATGATCGCTCCTTCTCAAGCGCCTTGTATTTCGGCACCACGTGCCTCTCGACAACGAGATGGCCTAGACTTTTAGTCTTATCGCACAAATTCCAACCCACATGCCGGCCACATGTAACGCCGGTCAGTACTTCCAGGTTTCTTTGACTCAACCAGATCCTTTGCATTGCCAGAATGGTTTCATCCAAGTCCGTCACCACATAACCTCGCCTCACCTATCCTCCCTCCCCCTCAAAATCCTCAATTTCCTCGCCCCCCTAGGATGATACCCCAAAAACAACTCTTCCACCACCAAATCATCAAACCGCCAAAACATGTTGCCCAAAGTCGAGTACAGCTCCGCCATCGCCAGCGCCTGGCCCAAACAGTTCCTGCTTCCTTTGCCAAAGGGGACCATGCACCGCTCCTGTATACGTATTCTTTCTTCGTCTTCCCTGGTGTGAGGTATCCATCGCTCTGGGTCAAAGACGGTTGGTTGTTCTTTTCCAGTACCGAAGGCCACGGGGTCGTAGTGCATTAGCCAGGCGGACATGGAGATGGATATTCCTGGAGGGAGAGGGACGGAGTTGAAGGTAGCGCCGGGGGAGGGGACGAGGCGGGGGAGGTGGCCTGGGAGGCCGGGCTTGAGTCTGGGAGGATGTTAGTCTTGGGTGTCAAAGAAGGAAAGATGATGGATAGTGGTAGTGGTGGTGAGAGTTGTCGTGGTTGAGAGGCAGGGAGGGGAGTGACACAGCACCACGTCTGCTCAGGGGTAAAGTAAAAGTCAACATACCTCAACGCTTCCTTAATCACGCCCGTCAGATATGGCAACTTCTCCAAAGCCCCAAGGTTAATAGACTCCACGTCCGGGAAAGCATCCCGCAACTCCTTCCTCAGTTTACCATAGATCTCGGGACTGTCAAAAATAGCCCTCCTGATTGTCGACCCAGTAGTATCCGCCCCCGCCCCCGTCAAGTCACATTCACCGCGTCCGAAAAGACAATGATATCCGATAACTTCGCGCTAGACTTCCTCCCCTTCACATTCTCATCAGTGAGCGGCTGCAGATCAATCAGCTCATGAAATATCGTCCTCCGATCTGGCTTTATTCCCGTTTCAATCTCCTCGCGGACTTTCGTCACCGCCACCCGCACCGTCTCCAGACTCTCAATCCACTTTATGTTCTTGAACGGCGGAAATACTGTTATTGTGAACCAATCCGGAATGCAGCCGAACAGTGTCATCAAGACCGGAAAAGTCCGGAACCACGGGAACAGCAACTGAACAACCCGTATAGCCTTTGCTCCTGGTAATCCGCTGCATCTTCGAGATGCTCCAACTGATTCCAGCAGTTGGCGCTGCCGTAGGCGTATTCTGTACTAATGATATCCACGGCGTAGGCGCGGATGGCGTTTTGTTGTGGATGTCAAAGACTTTATTTCCTTTCCCCTTACCTTATCATCTCCCTTCGCCTCTGTTGAGCAGGGGGACTCATTCATGCTCATAAAGACAAGTCTGAAATATCATCCCGCACAACTTCTCCGTCTTTGTCTTGATGATCTGCTGCTCCACCAGCTCCAGCACCGACCTGCGCGAGAAGAAAGGGTTGAGCGCCGCCCGTCGCACTCGGTGCTCGTCGCTGGACTTGACGGTTAGTAATACCGGAGCGCGGATGGGGCCTTCCATGGCGTTGTAGAAGTCCGGGTCTTTGGGGTATTTGTAGGAGGAGGAGGAGGAGGAGTAGATCTCGGAGTAGTTGGAGGGGTCGGAGAGGTGCACTTCGGTGGGGGATATGCGGAGGATGGGGCCTGTGTTTGGGTTTGGTTTCCCAATGTTAGTATGGCATTGTTTACCGCTGGCCTGTGGGTGGGAGGGTCACAGACACTCGCCCTTTACGAACGAGTTCTTTTTTTTTCTAAAAAAAAAACCTTTGGAAGGTTTTTTGGAAGGGAAACAAACACATACCGTACTTGGCATGCAACTTGGGCAGCACATGCATCAGTTGTCCTTCTCTGATGCCATTGTGGTAGAGGATCGGGAGGTTGGAAATCGACCCAGAGGAACGGGCCGGGGACGTGGGAAAGAGGGTGGAAGTATCGGCGACGGATGACGGTGAAGCTGATCCAGGATATGATGAGGACCAGTGAGGTATGATATAGCCACCATGGCCCGGAGGGCAGGAGAGTTGAGATTGGGGCCATGATACTCTGGACACCGCGAGAGTTCGTTGAGTATTCTGAGACAAAGACGTGCGTTCTCCCTCACTCAGGAAAGAAAGATGAGGGGTGGAAGTGATTGATATCTTTCACCAAGCCATCATGAGCTTCTATCCTCATATTTATCCTTTCTTTCCCCTTTTCCCCCTCTGCTCAATCATCGTCCTCGATCGACTCATGTATTGGTACTATTTTCCCTATCCCTCCCATTCACCTCCACCGGATATCAACACTAACAACCTCCCATTCTCTTGACTTTCCACTTCTGATCCATATCCCCGACTTCGAGGGAGTCTTGGCTAAAAGGCTCCCTCCATTCGGCACTGCTACATGTACCCACAAGCCCGCCATACATTTCAACAAGGCTGCTAATCTGGCAAAGATCGGCGAATAAAGTTACCGCGGGTAGGGGTAAATCTGCTTGGAGTTTTGGGCTTTTGGGTTTTTGGGTCTCCTGAGATCTCCTCCTTTGGTGATGGCATCGGTGGTGGTGGCTTCAGTCAGCGCACTGCAGTTTGCATGCGGGAGGAAGAAATGGAGTGCATGCACCCACGCAGACATCAGTCAGTCAGTCATCAACCATCACATCACTCCTTCAACCCGCAGCCAATTGAATAGGAAATTCAGTATTTCAGAATTTCACGGCTGAGGGATGAGGGGGATAACGGGCGATTAAGAGCAAGCAAGATAAGACACCATTCATTACCTTTGGGCGGTATTACAAAAAAAAGTATTGTAACCAAAGCGAGTAATCCATGATGTCTAAGAGCAGACAGAAACTGCATTCCCTCAAAGGTATCTAGAGTTGGATTGAGGGAGAACTTTTGCGAATTTCCGACATTCGCTCTCTTGAGGCCTACTTCGATCCAAGGTTTTCAACAACAGTTAAAGGGATTGTAGTATAGTGGTCAGTACTTCTCGTTGTGGTTTCTCGCAACGATCCGAGAGGACCCAGGTTCGATTCCTGGTGATCCCACATTTTTTGGCGCCCCATGTATCTACATGGCTTTCTTTTTTGATGTTCTGGAATCGGGTACTTTGGTGGTTTCTTGTTTTTTTTTGGTGTGCTCTCTGTGTTGTTCATGATGGTCTAGTTATATAACGTGATTTAATTCGTGATAAGTGAAGACATATGTTGATACAGTCGTTAAGTATAGATGCCGAACCACAAGCCCTTTATTCGCGGCAACTAAGATCACGAAAACAAATTAGGTAGTGTTTGTACTTGCCTAGTTTATAAATTTGCGCATGCCAGTTAACACCTCATTTTTGGCACCAACTTCCTCAGCCATTTCGTTCCCGGTTCCTGTCGTCGAACCTAGCCTCGAAAATGTTAACGATATTATTCATACTTTATAGGAACAGATGCGTGCGCCGGTCTTTAGGCAGTGTCTGTTAAGGTATCGGACGAAGCGTGCACAATAGCTAAGTCCGAAATATTACTAAAAGTAGACGATGTTCTGCTTCCTAAGAGGACTCGGATGTGCCTACTATTCACCATAACAGACAGTGTCTAAGATTAGCAATGAAGTTCAACATCCAGTGACGGCCGAAAACCTCAGCCAAAAAAAAAAAAGAAAAGCAGGGAAAAATGTAACAACATCACCTGAGCTTGGTGATGATGGGAAGTTCTGACAAGAGTGGGATTCGAACCCACGCCCTTTCGGACCACGGAACTCTGAGAGGAGATTAAGGGTTAACCTTAACGTGGCGCCTTAGACCGCTCGGCCATCTTGCCTTAATGAAAGAATCACAGCGATTACTGACATTAAGGATTAGCATCGCAGTATAGTACATGTCTTGGAAAGATGATGCGCCGTCTATAGTTGCAGCTCGGTTCGAATCCGTCTGAGAGGTATGGCTTGTTTGATAAATGACTGTCGAGTGCAAAATGTACATGGTTGATTGCAGTTTCTGGTCCGGCGGGAGGATGTTGGCATTTGTGAACTGGCAACAGATTTCACTCCTTGATTGATGATTGATTGTTCGAAGATGTTAACATGAAAGCGGATATACCATTGGTTTCCGACTGCAATGACTTGACGGCAAATTTAACCAGACCACTACTCAAAGACACTATTAGTAACAACCCACGACTCTCACAGCAAGAAGCCCAAGCGAAAAAAAGATACAGAAAAGCGAAACCGAACGTCTTTCAACAAAAGCCATGCTGAAAACACAAAAAAAGTGGACTAGAGGGCGCCAAAAATGTGGGATTGCCAGGAATCGAACCTGGGTCCCCTCGGATCGCTATGAGAAACCACAACGAGAAGTACTGACCACTATACTACAATCCCCTTTGTTGAATCGGTCGGCCTGGAGTAGTGACTATGAGCGAACAAGCGGATGACGGCGAGGATGACGTGGTTCCTACTCGGCAATCCTGCTGTAGGCAGGGTTACCGTTTCCAGAACGGATATTGTAGTATAGTGTTCAGGTCGTTCCATGAGTAATCGAAGTTCCAGGTTCGAGGAGTATTGAGTCGTTGTTCGGAGGCGGCCGACATGACAAGGCGTCGTCCTCTTGCCATGATTCTATATCTCATGTCGAATCGGGCGACGGCGATGAATCAGGCAGTCCGTGTAAGTGAGCAGCCCCATTGTGACAAAGTCATTCCGATTCAAACACAAAGACGTGTTGACCCAGTGGTGTGTGCATGTTGAATGTCGAACTCGAGAAATATTGAATGACAATCCTGTACCAAAAAGCGCTTGCTATATAAGCGACCGTTTTACATGATGCGACGCCTCACGCCAATGTGAAATGCAAATGCCCATAGATATACCCAGTCCAACAAACGTAAGGTCAAGAACAATAATGAGAAATGTGGGTAATCGATCCTCCAAAACCTGCCGTTGATGTCTTCAACTGTTATGGAAACACATTGCCTGATAAACTTGCGACTGACACTGTCCGCGTCCACCGAAAGTGAATAGGTCTTTGGGGTTTCCGTTCAAACCCATCCTATACTCACTTGAGTATAATGATCAGAAGCACCAAAATGATGATCAATGCGAGGATGATGCCCATCTGCTTGAACTCTCCGCTGTTGTTTGCTGCCCTTGCAAAGCGTCCGACCCGATCTCTTGCTCGATCCAACGTGTTTTGATGCCTGTCCACTGCTCGTTCGCTCTCATCCAGCATCACGACCTGGCTGTCCAACTCATCGCCAATTTGCAGACTCAGCTCGCGCTGGCGTGAGATGCTTGCTCCCAGAGCGTCAAGCTGGGCGTCCTGCTCTTCCAAAATCCGCTGATGATAGGCGTGTATCTGAGTGTTGTCCATGTCTTGCCCGTCGATGGTGTCGCGGTATGTGCCGTCGTTCAAGGCGGGGTCATCGCGGTATGGAAGTAGCTGGGAGCGAGCAGACTTGTTGGCGGCTTGAGCTTCGAGGTCACTGTTGGGTGACGAGAAACGGACGGTCTTGGATGCACGACGCTCCATGGGCGGGGGAGTCGTCGTGGACGTGGCTACGGGTTTCGAGGACTGGGCATGGGCAAAGTCTTGGGCGAGAGAAGGGTCATTGGGTTGGGTGAGTGTTGAGGTGGTGGCAGGTGAAGCGTAGCCATGGAATTGGGAGGTGAGGTCGTCGAATTGTTTTTGAAGCGAGGAGAGGGTATCATTCAGCGTGGACGCCTTTCTGGATGGGTGGTATTCATGTTAGTGACTACGGTTGTCAACAGGCGAAAGAGGACAAAGCATACGCGTCGTCGCCGGCTTCTTGGAGACGCTGATGCTCGGCTCGGAGAGATTCAAGACCCTCGCGAAACTGGTCAAGTGATCGGGAAATGTGGCCATCTTGGGTGTCGCTAGACAGCTTTAATGTCTTTGCCCGTTGCCTTTCAAGAAGTGACAGCTTAATGTGGTCGGCGAGAAGGAGCAGGGCGTTGGGATTCGACATGATTGATGGTTGGCGGGGGCTTGTTTGCGAGATTCCGCTATCTTATCGTGGATTCGACGACTGAGGTGTGTGTTGCGGCAGGTCACCAAAAGACAACGCAATGAAACAAGAGACGCGAGGTATACAAATGCAGAACAAAGGAACAGCTGAACGAAGGGAAATGACCGTGACGTAGATGGATGGACGGTCTGTCGATGGTTGAGGAGAGGTTGAGGTTGAGGTAAAGTTGGCGGTTGTTGCAGGAACATCAGCGGCCGTTTCACTGGAGCACAAGCTGTGGTCAATTGAGCACACGCTACCACGTGATGATCGATAACCTGCAATGCAGTTAAGCAAAACAATGTTTCTCCCTTCTCGCACACCATTGGTCAGATTCTGTCCATCCTCACTTACAAGGGTCTTCGTTGTCTGCTACCCCGCGCCACAGTCTCTCCGTTTCACTATTTCATAACCGAGAGACTTTTTGCGCCTCCGTCACAACCATCACCATTTTGGTAAACTTCGATTCCCCACGGCGACCTGCCGACCACCCTGTCACTCTCGCGATTGCAAGCATCCACGCATAATTTGTCCAGCTTCAGCATGGCGGCGAGGCAGAGCGGCCAAGGCTGGCTGGCCCGCCTGGAGAGGCTTGGAGGGATGAGCAGGCGGTGAAATATGCCGATACTCTCAATTCATTCTGGAAGATGCCCCTGCGGAACGCCAACCCGGCCAACAGCAACAACTTGCTCCTGAAGCGTCCAATGGCATGGTTGGGCGCGAAAGATGAAGGCCATGTTGCCCAGGTCACTCAAGTAAGCCCTCATGCCACGCTCGTGGTCTTGACAGCTATCTGACATGCCGTGTAGTGGATATATGGGGGCGGAGCAGTTGAGATGGGGCTTTCGACACAACCAGAATACAAAAAAGTCGTCCCGACTGTGGGGAATATCCGCCTCATGCTCGAGACACTATGGCTACGGCCCGACGACATACCGCTGCCGACGTTCCTTCACCGGATTATCATCTACTACACAGTCCTTCTCAACGGCTGTCTGACCGTGCTGCTCGTGCGAAGTTTGATTTAGGTGAGAAGAGGGAAGGAAGAAAAGCGAATTGACCTTGTACTTCTACCCCAATTGTCGCTGGATCATAATAGACGGTGATTTTGCCGACAGGTTGCGCGGCTGTGGCGAGCGGACTGATCACATACGAAGTCCCGACCCACGCCGGCGTGGCCCACACTCAGAGATGGACCTCGAGGGACTGGTCCGGCTCTTGACTTGTGCTGATGATTCGTCTGCGCTGTCGCAGGACCGCTGGTTGATGTTCGATGGCGAGGCAGAGAAGCGCTCGCAACGAGTCATGGAGTGGCTCCTGGACTACGCGGCTGGCAGGGGCAAGAAGGTGTCGCCTCAGAAGCATCAAGCGCAGATCCAAGAGCAAGCAGAGAGCCCGCCAACGCCGCCTATCTCGTCTGGATCGACTTGCTTCTTGTGTTCAACAGAATCCAAACCGGTGACTTTCAGCCGGCGTCCGGAGCTGATACGTCACTGCAAGAACCAACACGTGGCTAAAGGAACCTTCAACCTGCCGTTCCTATGCCCTGAGTGTGTTCGTCTGGGCAACGAGCAATACATTGTATCCAGTGCCCCACAGTGAAGTAACTATACCGAGCGAGTTCACGGAAAGCTGCATGCGCCGCTGCTCGTCACATCTCCATCCACTGTGGGAATCTTTCGGCCCGGCCTGTCGTAAAGCGGAAGCGGCCTATGAAAGCGAAAAAGGAGGAGCCGCTTCCCGGGGTGTCTGTTTTCGATAGTCTGGAGGAGCCGCAGTAGAAGAGGATATGCAGCAGCCGAAGCAGTATAGGCTCGCCAGCCTGCTAAAACCTTCGCTTGCTGATATGGACGCCGCTGCACCTGGTGCTACCTAGAATCCCACTATGCAAGCCAGAAGAAGGCGACAGGATTTCCCGACGACAGTAGCGGCGACAATTTCCTCCGACGCCAGCATCGTCACGCCGGGCTCCTCGATGGATGATGATGGTTTTACCCCCAAGACACGCTGGCGGAACCACTGATGCCCCTCTACGT